TAACATATAGATTTAAAATGTCCCACGTGGCTAATTATATAGGCTCAATATGAAGTGTTTAGCAGTATATGATCTTAATTTTAACCATGTAAAGTAACTATAACAAATTTGATCTGCCAAAGGCAAATGTCAGAGAAATAACGTTATAAATAAAATCACAGCAGCAATATTGTTATTGTTTCACATTCATTCCCCTCACAGATCACAAGACATTCAGTAACAGCAGCATTATCACTCCAAACATCGACACAATCATTCAGACGAACACATAAAACACAAAGTCGCTCAGGTCTGAATGAACTCGACATGTTTTCCTCACAGGATTGTTGTCTGCTGTTCTAAGTTTTAATTAAAGTCAGCTAGTGATGACGTCATCGCCACGAGGCGGGATCAACGGCAAATCATAAAAAAGAGCCAAATGCAATTTAAAACGACAAAACATCTACAGTGGGTACGGAAAGTATTCAGACCCCCTTAAATGTTTCACTCTTTGTTATATTGCAGCCATTTGCTAAAATCATTTAAAAAAAACATCAAACAAAGATAAGGGTTCCTAAGGTTAGACAAACAACCTTGTTACTTGACTCCACGCTGCTGCTGCGTCCGAAGCTAGTGCGGTTAAAGTGCATAAGTTACTTTTTTTTTCTCAAAACGAATATATAACCTTGTATAAAAATATCATATGAAAAGTTCATGCAGGATTTGAAATCTTTTACAAGATATGAGGGCACAAATTTTGTAGAAAAATGGACAGTTCTTAAAGGGATCCCTGGGTACTAAGACTTGTATGGCTTACTAGATTACAGTTGCCCCAAAGTATAGAAATATCATACACAATTAACAAAATATGTCTCAGTTCTTATAAAATTTATTTAAAAAATCGGTAGTAGAAGGCCGCCATTGTTGTTGACATCGCAGTGCATTCTGGGCTGTGACGTCAAATGGTTGCACCGATCACCGCTTCGTTATTTTGATTCTGCTATGTTACAACAAATGTCATCTGTTCAGCCTTTTCAATTTGAGCCAGAGCACGAAATTAGTGAGGAAGAAAACAATTCATTTCAAGATTGAGGATATCAAATCAATCAAAACAAAGACGATTGGAGGGTTTATGAGGCGAGAGTGGGGCAAAATGGATGGTGTCTCTGTGGCTGTTGCTTGCCGATGCTGACCGAGAAGGAGAGTGTTTGCTGTAAGGAGCTGCAATTTTTCGCTGTAGCTGTTCCAGGTAAGTTTATGGATCCAACTTTAGTTTTTTTATTGATTATTGATTATACAGAAATAGACCAGGCATGGAGAGACTGGTGATTTTTAAGCTCTTGTATTGTTCAGATTTACAAAAAAATGTATTTCACCAATAAGCACAAATCAATAGAATATCGACTGGTATGCATGGTTTATTTTATAATTCCTTACAGTAATTCCAATAATTCCAAATTTCATTACTGTTTCTCTTTTAAAACAATGGCAAAAAGACATATTACTGCACAGAGCTTGCGTAAGTAACGTTTCAATCAGCAAACAGCACAGTCGAGATCCCTGACACAGCACAGACTGCTGAATGACAATTTCATTTAAGCAGAATACCTCAAACGGAGATCGCTGAACTCCAGCTTACGTGTACAGTACTGCATGTCGGTGTTTTCAGATCATGGCACCTCCGCAGAGAGAGGGTGTGTGAATGGTTTCCAGATTGTATAAAGCAAAAAGCTGGGAAGAGTACGTATCCGTTTAACAGAAAAGCTCTGATTGGGGGATTTGAGGTCTTGATATCTGGCAACCGCAAAGTTGAATGCTCTCATAATAGAGTCTTGTACAGCAGTCAGAAATGTTTTGGCTCCACTTTTTCAACAAAAATAAAAAGGTTTTTGTAAAGTTTTTGTTCTTTTAACTACATTTTAGTCTCGTCTTATTTCGTCAACGATATTGCATGTTCATTTAGCCCCAGTTATTATTTAATGACCTTATTATCGTCTCATTTTTGTCAGGGGAAAAAAAACCTAGTTGACAAACATTTTCGTCATAGTTTTCGTTGACGAAATTAACACTTAGATTGGCTGTCAATGTTTTTATTGTTCATCAGCTGGAAAAATTTGTTCTGAAAGAGATTCTAATGATATTGTTCCTCTGTGTCATTAAATGTTAAATAGCTGCGGTGTTAACTCGTCCTTGATGTGAAGAGGCCTTTAAACTGCTTACAACAATACCGGCAGCATGTAATCATATTTAGAATAATTCATATTAATATAGCTTGCTATCGAAGATAAAGCTTTGTCTAATGCTGCTTTCCTCTCATACCGTTAAACTTACACACAACATTCTGCCTTTCTCGGCCTGATTCTCTTCATCTTATTCCTTTACTCCCTCACTCACGTTCTTTTGTGATTTGTTGTAAGAAGAAAAGGAGTTTTCAAGATGGCTTTTTCTCAGACTCTGAATCTGATGTATGCAGATGAACCCAGGAGCCTTCTAGAGTTGCCAGGGAACATGAGCTTGAAGCATATAATTATAATTGTTTTAATTTATGTTTAAACAACAATAATAATTAAACATGGTGTCAATAGGTATTTTCTTGTTTTAGAACTGAAGACCAAAAACACAAAGAAAGCCCACACAGAAAAGACAGAAAACTGAAAAGATCCATACTGTATTTAGATGTGTATGTCTGTATTCAAGCAATGCAGTTATATGTGGTACAGCATTTGATGTTGATCTCTCAAAGGACTCTTCCGAGTCAGCAGTTATCATTTTTCACATACACATCTTTTTATAGCTCCTAGAATGAGCAAATCAGCTGTGCCATCATTTCTGGAATTTGGGTAGGACATTACTGAATATGGTGAGAACTGATTTGTTATGAGAGCTTGTATCATGTTCTCATTTTCTACTTAGACTGAATCAAGAGGTAGAAGAGGTACTGAAAACACTTGGTCAGTTTGCATGACCCATTCTAAAGAGAAGCACTGCAGCCTGAACACATCTGTTATCTGCTGTGAAGACTGTATTCCCAAAAACTTCACAACTGAACAACTGAGAGCTAGTTGTGGAGGGATTCTTTTGGCCCACACCTCCAACAACCTCCAGCAGGAATCAATGGTAAGTCCAGTGCAACAGTTATAGATCATAATATTATATATTGTTTATTGATTTACAACACCCTAAATGATTTTGTCCCTCTGATGTATTTTAGGATCAGTCAGTGCAAGTTTCTTTCAGTTGAAACAGCTCAGACTTATATTTTAGTCTGGGACTAGGCTTAAACCTTAAAGCTGAATTTTGTAAACAATACATATAATTACCATGATTGTTTTAATTAAATACTGCTGTAGAATTATGCATGCAATATGAAAAAGTCAATAGGTAATGAATCAGAACAGTGTCATAATAATAAAAAAACTTTTTTTTCATCCTTAATAAACTAGCTACAGCTTGTCCAAAATGCAGCTGCTAGAATCCTCACCAGGTCAAGGAAATATGATCAGACTACCAATGAAGTTCTGTATCAATTAAAAAGTATTGCTAGTTACTTATAAGGCCCTAAATGGGTTAGCTCCTGCATGCATACCTCACTAGTCTTCTATCACGCTACATTCAATCATGCTCCCTAAGGTCACGAAACTTTTGGTAGAACCTATAGGATAGCAAAATCCACTAAAGGAGGTAGAGCTTTTCTGCATTTGGCTCCTAAGCATTCACGTAATGTATCTCATAACCTGTACTTTAGTTATATCTGATCAAATGCACATTTTCATTCTCTGCTTGAAACAACTGAAACAGCAGCTACGCTAATTATTCTCTATCTGCTAATAACTAGTATTTCATGCTAGTAACTAACTGCATTAACTGTACAGTCTGCCATATAGACTTTACTTTGACAGTCACTTCTGATAACAGTGTTCAGTTTGTAATTTAGAAACATGCAGTTTCTGTAAAGCTGCTTTGAAGCTATACTTGTTGTGAAAAGCGATATTCAAATAAACATGATTTTTTTTCCCAGGAAAACAATCCCAATCAAATGGAATCCCATTACAAAAGAAACAACTTTTAGAAATATGACTGATATGGGCACAGCCTGATTTATTTTTCAGTATTTCAGTTTTGTTCAGTAGCTCTTTTATTTCTTAATCTTTCTGGACCTGCAGGTGTCTATAGAGTTTTTCCAGTAATTTGTATTGTTTCTGATGTTCATCAGCTGCTCTTTTCTCTCTCTGAAATCATTCAGTTCTTCTGCTTGTTTTCTACTTGTCATCCTCATGTTTCTTCTTCATCTCTTTAATTTCCTCTTCAGAGTGTCTGTCTAACGTCATCTCTCTCTTTCTCTTCTCTTTCTTTTCTCTCCTTCTCTTCTCTTGATCTCTTCTTCTTGCTCTTGTTTCAGGTCTTCAATTATTTTCTTCCATCTCTTTCTCTCTTCTTCTCGTCTCTCATCATCTTCTCTTTTCCCTCTTGCTCCAGCCATTCATAATGTATTTTTATTTCAGCTTTCTTTTCTTCATATTCTCTCTTTCTCTTCTTTCTTTCTCTATCTTCTGTCTTTCTTCTTCTCTCTCTCTTTCAAATCTCTTTCTCATTTTCTCCAGATCTTCTTGTTTTTCTCTCAGTTGTTCCTCATGTTTCTCTTTTCTCTTTCTTTCTTCTTCCTCTTGTTCTCTCATCAGTTGTTTATTTTCATCCTCCCATTCTCTCTGCTGTCTCTTATTTGTCTTCTCCATCTCTGTCTCTCTTTCTCTTCTTCTTCATTCCTCCGTTTCTTCTCAAATCTCTCTTTTTAGTTTCTTCTTCGTTTCATTTGTAATTCTGCTCTTGTTCATGTTCATCTTTTATTGTCTATATCTCTCTTCTTTCTTTCTGTCGTCTTCTTCTCTTTCCTTTTGCTGTTTTTCATACTGTGATCTCTGATTTTCAATCTCTCTCTTCTTCTCTTGTATTTGTTGATAATACTCAACTCTTAGTTGAGTATTATCAACTCTCAACTCTCAACTCTCTTTTTCCTCTTCCGATCATTTCTGGTTTTCAATCTCTCGTTTCTTCTGATCTATTTTCTCTTTCTCTTCAAATTCTTTTCTGAGTTTTGTCTCTTTTTCTCTCAGTTGATTCTGCATTTTCATTCTCTCCTCATCTGCGCTTTGTTTCTTCTTAATGGCCATCTCTGCATCAAACATGCTGTTAGTGAAATATCGACCCTCATTAGTATTTTTCACCTCTTCTATCATGTTTAACAGATGAATCACTTGAGTTCGGTCTTGTTTTTCTCTGTTATTGAAAGCCAGGAATCTGTTTCCACAGTCTCTGATCAGTTTCTTCAGTTCTGCAGAATTACTTTCCCTCACATAATCCTCTACAGATTTACCCTCAAGATCGTCTCCTCTGGTGAACAGAACGATGCTGAACTGAGCAGATTTTGGACCAAAGATCTTCTTTATCAGATCCATAGTGTCGGTTTCTTCCTGTGTGAATCTTGCCACACTCAACACAATGACAAACACATGAGGTCCAGGTGACGACAGTGAGACACATTTCATTATTTCTTCTGCTACCTGTTCATTTGTCAGTGGTGTGTCAAAGAGTCCTGGAGTATCAATAACAGCTACCGATCGACCATCAACTTCACCAACTCCCTTCTTACAATCAGTCGTCACTGAATCTGATCTTGCTTTACTCACAAACTCATCTCTTCCCAGAATAGTGTTTCCTGTTGAACTCTTTCCATTTCCTGTTCTCCCGATCAGCACAATCCTTAGACTCTCCTGATCACCTGCTTCACCTTCAGCACCTGAAAATCATAGAGAAGTCACAAGTCAAAATAAAAACTTTTTACAGGAATGCTAAGGGGTTAAAATCATTTAGAAATTACATGAAGAACATTTAGAAATGGTTGTCAGATTGCAGGTGTTGTAATTACTTTAGTTATACCTGCTGAGAAGCTAAAAAGAGGGACAATCTATAGACTCGTTTGACTAATTATTGACAATGACAGAGCAGTCAGTGTTTGTTCACATAGCAAAATCTTTCCAGTCTCAAAAAAATAAATAAAAAAAAGATTCAGGCCCTTCATAGATATGACACATTTAAATATTGTTCACTTTATTTAAAAATATCTTATTAGAAGTAATAATTGTATCTATTTAATAAGTCTGACATAAAACGTGTACGTGTAAATAGTGTCATCTATTACATTTAATTACATTTATCTAAACTCAGTTCAGTTATATTTGGGAAAGGGTGCGAGACGAGCTCCAACGAAACACTCACAGTGTGCAACCGCCCTTTTCTTATTCTGTCCTCTGACAAACAGGTTTCCGGTCAGGAGATATTCTCAGGTATAACTCAAAAATGAAGAAAGTACACTGATATGTTTTTGGGATTTCTAGGCACTATTTTTCATGTTTCATCTTAATTTCTCACAGCTTGTGTGTATTTTCCTGCCGCACTAACCAACGTCTCATCAACACGCATCATTTAGAGAGACCAAAGCTCAAGGTCAGGATTGTTGTTAAATAATACATTAACTTTTTTATTTGATTTATTTATTTATTTTTATCAAGCCCCCTTTCATATACCGCCAGTAATCTTGGAATATACTGCATGTGTCACATAAAACCATTAATTAAACTCCTAATATAAATATTTTCTTTCACACGCTGATGAACATCATCACCAAGTGAATGTGGCAAGCTCCTAGTGATAGAAAGTCATATTTGCTCAAATAATCTACTTTTTATTATTTTTAGCATTGATGCTTAAGAAGGAAGTTGGATGCATTAAGAGCCGAGGGGTGTAAACTTTTTGAATACAATGAACATGGCAAATTTAAATTGTGTTGCCTTCTGGCAAACATGTATATATTTTATGTAGCTTCTGAGCAATAGTCATAAAAAAAATCAAAATAATAAATAATAAAAAAAGGTAACACCACAGTATTAAGAGTGAAATGTACAGTATGTAATCATTTGAACTGGTTCACAGTAACAGTGTTAGTTTGCCTTCTGGACTACATGCAAATATCTGTTATATTTACATTACCATTAAAAAGTTTTAGAATGGTAAGAATTTTGTATTTTTTTTATGTAAGTAAAAAAAGCAATCAAGATTGAACAGCTCATCAAGGCTGATTGTATCTGATAATAATCAGAAATGTTTCTTGAGCAGCAAATCAGCATATTATACTGATTTCTGAAGATCATGTGACACTGAAGACTGGAGTAATGATGCTGAAAATACAGCTGTGCATCACAGAAATACATTACAGTTTAACACATATTCACACAGAACTTTTACATTTATATTGTACAATATTGCTATTTTTGATGCATTTTGGAATAATGGATGAATTTACATGGGGCTACTGGACTCCTCTAACCAAGTTTCATTTCTAAACGTCTTTCAGGTTTAGTGTATTTATTACTGACTATAAGTGTTACACTATTTCCATGTTGTTATATATTGAAAATCAAATGAATAAAGTATTGAATTAATTATGAATGAAAAAATCATTTAAATTTAAAATGTAAGAAATCGCTTACAGCATGACTGAATGTTCTGCTGCAACTTTTTGATTCTGCTCTCTTTTTCACTCAGTTCTTTCTTGTGTTGTTCTTCCAGTTCACGTCTGGCTCTGTTCTCTTGAGCTTTCACATACATCTGAGGTGAATACGGTTCAGTCTTCATGTTCTCTATATAATCCAGCAGTTCTGGGATCTGTCTGTTTTCAGGTTCATTTAACCCCATCACTCTGTACTGATCTCCACAGAGACTGATTAACCTCTGAGATTCTGGGCTGTATGTGACAAACTCTGCTGCAATTCCTTCAACAGTGAGCTCTGTTGTGAAGAGCAGCATGAAGTGCTCTCTGGAGTCAAATATCTTCTGGATCTTCTCTGTTTCTGCTTTGTCTCCATCAGTAAGTGGACCAACAGGAACAATGAGGAGGAAAGCATGAACTCCAGGATGACAGAGAGACACACAGCGGAGAGTCTGATGCATCACGTCCTCCTCTGAGAGACGACTGAGAGCTGGAAGCTCCAGCAGACTGATCAGACGATCATGAATCTTCTCCTCTTTCTTCACACACTCTTTACTGCTTGCTTTCTGATGTAAAGGGGAATTACCTTTTCCCCTCTTATTAGTTTTGATAAGGAGCTCGTCAGTATTTCACCACTTCCACACAGCACCAGATTCAGCTTCTGTTTTCCAGTGAGATGTACGTTTTCTTAGTTCAACAATAAAATGATACTAGAGCCGCCGTTCAGTCAGACTAAAACATTTACATGAGTTTTAAAATATGGAATGATTGCAATAGTCCAGTTAAAATTTACATATAAACAATTATCTGATATGCTGCAAAAAAAAATTAAAATGACAAGATGTCAATCTAGTATTTGATTGTAAACAACCAATTTAAAAATAGTCTTGTAGGCACTATTCTATATTTACGTTTATAAACTTATATTGTTTAACCAATGTGAGCATATTAGTACTGAGAACTTATTTTACTTGACATAATCATCAGGAGTTCGTCTTATTCACTGATCTCATCCAGTGTTTAATCTCTTGTAAAAGTGCATCACATTACTAACACACTTCAGTCACACCACTGATACTACAGCAATACATTACTGTGAAAGATTTCTAAGCACACATGCACAAACAAAAGTTTTGAACTATGGCAGATCTTAGACACACACAGTCATCAAGAATCAGCATATGAAGCTCAACAATGGTGACAATAATAATAATAATAATAATAAATAGTTAAGTTAGTTAGTTAGTTAGTTAGTTAGTTAGTTAGTTAATGGCACTGCTGGTTTATGTCCAAACACATAAAAAGTCATTTAAAAAAGTAGGAAAATAATAGATGATATTACTTACCCATAACCGCTGGTTTCTTGTTCTTTTGCTGAAAGACACATTTGATTCTAATTAGCAACTAATTAAATGATGAAGGGAGAAGTTATAAAGTACTCAGGATTACAGTAAAGCTGTATGTTATTCTCATCAGCTGATACTTGATGAATGATCGTCATACCTCTGCTGTGACTCTGATCACGTCACTGTCTACAGTGTAGTTGAGTTTCCCCAGCGCTGCACATTTGATCTCATACTCAGTTTCTTCTCTCAGATCAGTCAGAGTAACTGTGTCTTGATCCTTCAGCACAGCTTCAGATCTCCAGACTGTGTCTTGCTTCACTTTATACAGTAATCTGAGCTTCACTGTAGCAGGACATGATGGAGGAACCACCTTCAGAACCACACTCTGACCTTTGACCTCTTCAGTGACCGGACAGACTGGTTTGGACGGAGGAGTGAAGCAAACAGCGTCTTCACATCCATGTTCATACAGCAGAATGCAGGAACCAGGATGATTTTTGTGGTCTATTGAGGAAACAATAAATTTAGTGGACTGACTGTTGTGTAAAAACATCAGCTCCTTAAACATGATTAAATGTTCTCTCATTTTCTCCCTGATGTTTCCAGTGAGCCACGTCAATACTCGAGGAGATGTTTTTGCATTCTTCTTTCTGGATGTTGTTTGAGCTTTCAGGTAATGTTTCTGTTCAGAAAGCAGCTCGTCTGGCCGCTCAAGGGAACTAAACGTGTAGCAAACCACATTCTTTACCTTAATATTTGACAAAACTGTATCTAAGCTGGTGTTCACTTCAGCTCCGATGTCCAATATCTGTTGAAGAAACTCCCCAAATGTCTTTAATTCTTTTTCTTTCTCTCTGATCCACTCCATGAGATCATGTGTGTTAAATGGAGACTCCTCATGAGCTTGTAGAAGATTGGTCAAAGCACAAGTCTCTTCTTTACAGGATTGAACTGACTGGATCAGCGACTGACTTCTATCTTTGAAATCTTGTCTGTAAGTTTGGCAGAATCGCTTCATATCTTCAATCTTCTTGTGAAATGCACTAAATGTGTTTGTCCTAGTGTCTTTCAAAAGGGCAGTGCACTTGTTTTCAGTAAAGCTCAGATTTTTAATCACATAATCTATTTTCATGATGATCTTCTCAATGACCCGTAGATGGAGGACGTCACTGTCTACAGTGTAGTTGAGTTTCCCCAGCGCTGCACATTTGATCTCATACTCAGCTTCTTCTCTCAGATCAGTCAGAGTAACTGTGTCTTGATCCTTCAGCACAGCTTCAGATCTCCAGACTGTGTCTTGCTTCACTTTATACAGTAATCTGAGCTCCACTGTAGCAGGACATGATGGAGGAACCACCTTCAGAACCACACTCTGACCTTTGACCTCTTCAGTGACCGGACAGACTGGTTTGGACGGAGGAGTGAAGCAAACAGCGTCATCACATCCATGTTCATACAGCAGAATGCAGGAACCAGGATTATACACCATTTCCTTTGAGGACACAATAAATCTGGCAGGTTTACGGCCTTTCGAATCAATTAAGTTCTTAAATATCTCCAAGTTTCTCCTCATGGTCTTTTGGATCTCAGCAGAGAGCCAAGACTTTTGCTTTGAGTCAGGGCCCTTCTCATCAGTTTCTCCTTGTGTTGAAGGACTCAGATAAGAAGTCTGTTGAAGAAGCAGCACATCTGAGCAGTCCAGTGATGTGAATGTGTAACTCACCAGATTCCCGACCTCCAGATCCATCAAGATGGCGTCTATGTTGACTTCCACCTGTGCACCAAAATCCTTCAGCTGTCTGAGGAGTATTTTAATGATCTCAGACTCTCTTTCTCTCTCTTTCAGCCATTCTGCAAGATCTCTTCCTCTGAATGGAGATTCATCATGTTCTTGTAGAAGATCAGTCAGGTCAGTTTCCTTCATCACGTCTCCACGGATGTTTGGCAGCAGAGAGCCGAGTTTCTTCACCAGCCTCAACTTGTAGCTGTAGCAGTTTTGCTTTATTTGCAGTATTTTATCATGAAATGCAGCAAAAGTCAGAGCGGGAGAGTCTTCTAGAAGATCACTGCATTTCATCTCAGCTGTATTTAAACTCTCAATCACTGATTCAGTGTTTATGATCAGATCCATGCTGATGTCTTTATGAAGTTTTGAAGCTCTTGAGTGAAGTTTGTCCAGAGGATAAAGCCAAACTCTCAGAGGAACCGCCAACTCTTGGTTTTCTTTCAGCAGTTTTGGAAGATCAGCAAAAACCTTCAATGCGTCTTCAAAAGAGGTCGGGTTAGACGGCAGCTGGAAGTCGCCATAAAATGTGCATGTGAAGTTTTTGACTGCAGTTTTCTGATTCTCATTCACACTAATTTCAGCATTTGCACCTACTGAAACAATGCCTTGTAGTTTCTCAAGAGCCACTTTTACTTCTCCTTTTACTGTTTTTTTGTCCTCGTCTGAGGAAACTTCTCTGTCAAATACAAAACATGCATCTGCTCCATAAAGTATTGCTGTCACTACATGTGTGCCTATATCATTGTCATCAGCAGCAATACTTCCAGAAGACAAATGGTTTGTGATCAGTTCTTCAAATCGGTTTGTTGAATGATAATGTAGCGTCAGTCTCTGCTGTTTGAAAGACGTCTTGGTGTCTTTGAGATACTTTGCTGCACCACTAACATGGATGAGATCACCTAAAAAACTCAGTTTCAATTCACCGCCAATATTTAGTAATCTGGATTTGTCCTTAATGGAGTCTGAAGCTGTGACATTGAAATCAGTATTAATTTGTGGACGAGAGCAAATATTCTGCTGAAGCTGCTCTTTATTCCAAAGTCTGACCCCTGTAACAGGACAAATATGAATTTATTACAGTCACATCTCAAATCTGACACAAATTCTGATGTTTAGGCCGATGAAAGTGAAAAACGTCATGTTTGTTTGCTTTTGTTTATGATTCATTAGTCTAGAATGTTATTTATAAAGGCCAGGAAAACTACAGACTAAAAACCACCTGGTATTAAAGCATCTTTTCTGCAGTCATACAGCATGCCCAGCTGGAAGGGTCTCCCAAGAGCTGCTGCTTCAATCACATTTAGTCCCACTGAATCCATGCTAAAGACAAACATCAGAAGAGAGAAAAATATTTATATGAATTTATAGAAATGCACTGTATATAAATCTTCCAAAAACATGGTAATATTGTAATATGCATGAATCTGCAAACAAGTTTTAAACTCAGCTAACAGAAAAACGAACCAAGTTAACAATTTTTGGTTCCCAGAAAATTCTCAGAATGTCCTTTTCACATTACTCTTAACTCTGGTTTATAATTCAGAAATCGTTTCATATTCCTTCGGTATAGATTATTTTTAGGCTGTAAAAAAATAGAACCTACAGAATCCACAGCAGCCTTCTTCGTGTATATCGTGTCATAAACCACTTCAGTAACACTTTACAGTAAGCTTTACATTATTTAACTACTTTAGTTAACATGAACTAAGCATGATCAATACTTCTACAGCATTTATTAACCTTACTTAATGTCAATTTCAACATTTACTAATGGATTATTAAAATCAAAAGTTGTGCTTGTTAACATTAGTTAATGCACTGTGAATTAACATGAACTAACAATGAACGGCTGGATTTTCATTAACTAACATTAACAAAGATGAATAGATACTGTAATAAATGTATTGTCCATTGTTTGTTCATGTTATACATTACCTAACATTAACTAATGGAACCTTATTGTAAAGTGTTAGCACCGCTTCCTGGTTATCAATGTGTTTTAGCAGGATTCTTCACTCACCTTCTCTGTTCTTCAAAGCACTTTCAGTTTATTTCCATTGGAGAAGCAGAAGTTGTCTTTTGCCATTAGATTAATATATGAACTTTCTCGTGAAAACTTTCAAATAAATTTGTGATTTTATTGCCGTGCTGGAAAAAAAAACGTGATTTTATTTCTGTACAAGCCGGTCAAATTCAAAGTTTCACTTTCTGTTCATTAACTCCTCCCATTTAAACTTAGGCTACAAACACACACACACACACAGGTTTGTTTTTGTGAAAAGTGGGGACTCTCCATAGGCGTAATGGTTTTTATACTGTACAGACCGTATATTCTATTGCCCTACACCAACCCTACCCCTAAACCTACCCCTCACAGGAGACTTTCTGCTATTTCAGATTTTCAATACACTCCATTCTGTGTGATTTATAAGCGTTTTGAAAAGTGGGGACATGGGGTAATGTCCTGAAAAGTCACCTTCTCCTTGTAATACCTATGTCACATATTTGTTATTATACAAATTTATGTCCTCATTTGTCACAAAAACGCGCACACACACACACACACACACACACACACACACACACACACACACACATACATATCAATCTATTTGCCAATTGACTTAAGTCACTAGATACTTGTTTTGAAAGTGGCCAAAATATTAATCTAATAAATAGATTTAGATTATATTAAGACTGGCCATCGGGAGCACCAGACGAATTCCCGGTGGCCTGGCAGCTGATTTGGCCTGCTTCCCTGTTTTTTTGTTGTTGTTTTTTTAGTTATTATTATTAATATTTAATATTTTTGCCTTCTCAATGTACCAAAGTGATAATTTCCTATTTTGTCATACGATAATAAACCGATAATAAATCATAAATCAGTTAGTCTCATGTCTGTCTTCAAACAACGGTTTCGAAGAGAGTCGATGCGCGGGACTCGATGAAGGAGAGGAAGCGGCCAAAGAAGCAGCAAAATGTAGCAAAAATGCCTGTTCAGGGCTTCAGGTGCAGGTCAGTTTCATCTGTAAATACGCTAAAGAGTTTTGTCTTGGTGGAGTATTAACCCTTTAAACCCACCAGCGGGACACCACCCACAAGAAAAAAATCTAATTACTAAGCAACCCCTGAATGGAATAACACAAATAATATCATTTTAAAGCTTAGAATCTCAGCTTTTTAATGAATGTAATTATTTTGATGAACTCTTGATGAATGAATGTTTAGCAGTCCCTCTAACCCTAATAATCATAATTTACAAGATATGTTGTTGTTGTTTTTTTTGTGCCATGTACTCTAATATGTCAAACATATCATACAGCTCGGATAGTCATGTGCCATATGTCATTTGAAAGGTCTCATCGAGTATAATAAAACAAACAATTGTTTGGGGCTTTTAAACTGCTAGCACCTGTTAGGCTATCAGGGACACCCTATTTTTAACATATTCAGAATACTGTTCTAAAGGACATCATTATCATCATTATTACAAAAAGATGTTGTACTGATTTTGTCTTTTAGGCACTTTAGAAAATTGTTTTGATATGTTTGAATGAAACATAGGTTTGTTAAATCTCCGGGTATTTAAGTCATTTTAAGATAAATTACATTCTGTGATTACAAATTGCAATGAGGTGGTCATTTTGCAGCAAGGTGGACACAGTTCTGTTCATAACAGTAGACGTGCTGGTCAAGAAGTGACATGTACAATACAAATGGAGAGACAGAGATATTGGGGAAAATGAAGAAAAGTAAAAAGGGAAGTGAAGGTGCAGTTCAAGAGACAACCTTTAATTATTTTTCACGGCCCCAGGCCAATGATTTAGACCTTTTTATGTGATGGCCATTTAAATAATAGTGTTGTCTGTGGTTACAGAATTTGTAGTGGGTCAATAGGCTATATACAGAAAAAAGAGGCCAGAATGGTACCTTTTGGGGTACAACAGCTTGTCACTGGAGCAGTACCCTTAAAACGGACGTCTTTTTGCCTTTTACTCCTAAGAGGTAAATATTAGTATATATGTGTACGAATTACTATAAGGTACTAATATGTACCTATAGGGGTAAAAAAGGTACAAAGATGTTATTTTAAGGGTACTGCTCCAGTGACAAGCTGTTGCACCCAAAAGGTACCATTCTGGCCTCTTTTTTTCTGTGTGGCCTGGATGTGTGAGATTTCTCGGCCTGAAATTGCGTCCCAGTCCGGCCCTGTAGGCTACTATTTAAAACATTTAGCTAAGGTTATATTTATTAAGAATGCTTAAAAAAATAAATAATGTGCATTCAAAGGCATATGGTTATTATATAAAGCAAACTAATAAAACATTTGAAAAACGCAAAGCGCTCGGTACTCATATGCTGGCTAAAGATGGTAAATGCAAAGATAACAGAGCAAAAAATATCTTCAGTCACATGATCTACAAACAATTGCAGGCGTTTTTCAGTACAAAGAAAAATGTTGTACGGTATAGCCTATTATGTTATGCACGTTTGCAACATAATTTTACAGAAAATTCCACTCATGAACACTGAATATGGTCAGTTTTATTTATGGCCAGTCTATTTATGGTGCTAAAATCGATTTGCAATTAAAAGATTCTGAAAGGTTTCAAAACTTCGTAACGAAGCTCGTATTTGTTATGCTTTAAATGCTTGTAAATGCCTCAATATTCTGTAAAATGCAGTTTTAAAGGGTATCATATGAATGACAGTTCTTCGACTAACTTTTCACGTCAATAATCGATTGTCCTTTCCTTACAGAAGAGGGAGATTGTGGACATCCTGAATGGAATAAATGGATGAAGTCTTTAGGCAAACCCTCACACACAGAGGACTGGGAAACACAAGGGAAACAGGAACTGAAGACGATCACTGGTGGAGAACGCAGGAAAGGGAAGTATCCACAACTTCAACAAACCAGACCGGACAGAGAACTGATGCGAGGTGTGTGTGCTTCAGTAGCAGTCCATGTGATGAAGGTATAATGACGTGCAGGTGTGTCTGTGATTAGTTTTCGAGAGAGTTCCTGTGTTGTGATTGGCTGGGAGGAGAGCCTGGCTGGTCTGTGACAAGCCCGACGTCAGAGAAAAATGGATTCAGTGTATTTTAAGCGAACGTCCAAGTCACGTCAGTGCTAATTTACACTTGTGTTCAGCACATTTCACCACTGACTGTTTTGAGAACAAAATCACAGTATGATGCTGGTTTTGCCAAAATACTTTTGCTCAAAGATCAGGCCGTGCCAGCTATTCACCGTATGTTTACAGAATCACAGTTTTGACAAATTTGTAACATTTTATAAACATTGCACAAACAAGAACATTTTAAATTTAACCAGTATATCAAACAATGCACACTACTACTAAAATGTGTTTTATACTTTTAACATATACTGACAACCACCATAATACCACAGGGGGTAAAACAGAAAGCCACATGAAGAAGCAAAGCTCATCACAAGCAGCTTTCTACAAGCTGAAGTATATACTAATATCCAGAAGGTGCACAGGGTCATTCACGCAAACAGAAAATACCATCATGGTAACACACACAACACTTAAATAATGCAATAAACATTCATTAAACAACAGAAGATATAACATAAACCCCAATGTACACAAATGATTACAAAAATTATTGGGAAACATGATTATTTAAACAAAATACTTTCAACTGTGGAGTGTCTGGCAGGGAATATCCGTTTACAGTTATTGACTGTAAATTATACATTGATTTTTTTTACTTATAAAAACTGTACAATTAACAGCATTTTACTGTAAAATGACATGAAATGTCTGGTTGCATCTTTTACAGTTTTTCCCTGTATATAGTAAATAATCTTACTGTTATTAACATTTTATTTCTCCGTGGCATTTTTATAATATTTTACAGTTAAACTTACACTCATTTTTTACAGTGTAGTCCTGATTTATATGTCTGTGAAATCAGGCATTAGTGTATAAAAGTAATAAAAGTAAAAGAGTAGAGTGTATAAAAGTAATACAAAATATAAAAGTAAAAATAAGTAAAACTGTATAAAACTACCCTTAAGTGTACTTTATTACTGATATAAAATATCATAATAAAATATAAAATTATCATTCCTGTCATATTGTGATAAACGCTTACATCATCATATACAGTAGCTTTGCCTGCTCTCATAATTAGTGCAAGCTGACAGTTAATTAAACACTCGAGATAATCAACGATTTAATGAGAATGATCTAAGAGAGTAAAACTGTCCTCTATTTTCCAAACTTTGTGCAAACAGAGCCTGAATTAATAATAAAGACACACAGAAAGCTACTGTACAAAAAAA